AAAAGGGCAAGAAGGAGGACCCGAGCAACTAGACCGGTCAGCCTCACCTCCATGCCTGGAAAAGTGATGGAACAACTTATCCTGCGCTGTCTCTAGGCATATCAAGGAGAAGCAGGTCATTAGGAGCAGTCACCATGGCTTTACCAAGGGGAAGTCATGTTTGACCAACCTGATAAGCCTTTTATGAAGGCATAAGCAGGTCAATAGATGATGGTAGTGCAGTGCATGTGGTTTGTCTTGATTTCAGTAAAGCATTTGACATCATCTGAGGTGTCAACTGAGGAAGTGTGATCTGGGTGATCAGGTAGTGAGGTGGACTGTGAATTGGTTGAAGGAAAGAAGTCAGAGAGTTGTGGTCAGTGGGACAGAGTCTAGTTGAAGCCTGTGTCTAGTGGAGTCGCTCAGGGGTCAGTACTGGGACCAGTGCTATTCAATATATTCATCAATGACCACATCTGGATTATTGTGTCCAGTTCTGGGCCCCTCAGTTCAAGAAGGACGGAGAACTGCTTGAAAGAGTCCAGGGCCGAGCCCCAAAGGTGATGAAGGGGGTGGAACATCTCCCTTCTGATGAAAGGCTGAGGGAGCTGGGTCTCTTCAGCTTGGGGGAGAGGAGACTGAGGGGTGACCTCATTAATGTTTAGAAATACGTAAGGATGAGTGTCAGGAGGATGGAGCCAGGCTCTTCTCAGTGATGGCCAACGATAGGACAAGGGGCAACGGGTGCAAGCTGGAGCATAGGACGTTCCATATTGACATAAGGAAAAACTTTTTCCCTGTGAGGGTGACAGAGAACTGGAACAGGCTGCCCAGAGAGGCTGTGGAGTCTCCTTCTCTGGAGACATTCAAAACCCGCCTGGACGCATTCCTGTGTGACCTACTCTAGGTGGTCCTGCTCTGGCAGGGGGGGTTGGACTAGGTGATCTCTCGAGGTCCCTTCCAACCCCTAACATTCTGTGATTCTGTATCACTGCACAAGGTCTGGGCCAGATCCTGCCTCGAGACCCAGGCACAGCCCAATCTCCACGCTCTAGGGACCCACACTGGGATAAATGCAGGAGGGTAGGACCAGGCACCCATTTCTGGTTAAATCTCACAGTGTTCAGCACAAGCTGCTCCCAGGAAGGGGCACCTAAAGCTCCCCTCTGATACCAGCAGACGGTGAAAGGGTCCATCACCCTCACACAGCCACGAGTCATTTGTTCATGCTGCCAGCCAAAGACTTTGCCTGTCCATCACCACCACAGAGAGCTTTGGTCTGACACCTGCCTATGCATCATAAATAATCCATACGACAGGTCTCCAGTTCCCAGGTATTGCACCACCAGCACCTGCCCTTACTGTCCCACCAGACAAGAGGAGTCTTCAGCCAATTCTTCTCTTGCAACTGAAAAGCAAGAGACTTTAGAGCCCCAAATAAGCCTTAGCTCCCTCGGATATACATTTAGGACTTTAAACTAGGCTGCAAGTAACACATGGAAAGTTTCATATACTTCTTCCTCCTGTTTTTAAACAAATAGCTCCTTGCCAAGAGCAAATCCCAGTAGGACCATCCTCCAGATGTGTCAGAGCTGAATGATTACACACCTCTGCTGCATGGCCTCTCCCAGAGCCGATTTTTGTTTAAGGCAGCTTACAGCGATGTGCATTCAACAACCTCCACCCAAGCATGCACTGCTCTGGGGGAGCAGGAGCTGGTGCCACCCACAACAGCCCCTAACAGGTAACCCACACCACGTGCCAGCCCTGTTGCTGGTCTCCTGCTGCAGGTCCTATGTCACCCCAACCCACACCAGGATGCTCCTTCTCTCACCTCAAACTCCCCTTGGTCCACGCCACAAGCCCCAAGAAACCACTGCCCAGCACACTGGTCTGACATGATGCTGCTGGAGGTATCACTCCCACTGCTGTCATAGTTGTAGTATTTTCCTGGAAAAGGCAGGAAACAGTTTAAAATAAATAGCTTAGGACCCCAGCTCATGTGTGCTGTCCTTACACTCCTGTGAGGTAGGAGCACAGCAGCTTTTTCCAGAAGGCTCTTTACTCCTTCTCCCAATCATACCCTTTCTGTTCCCTTCCTGCTACCTGCTCCTTCTGCTCCACTTGGAGGGGCACCACCTTCCCTCCTTCCCCCAGCCCCTGCAAGGCTCCATGACCCATGGAGGAGCCATCCCCTTCTAAAGGGATATGTGGGCAGCTGAGCGTGGTTACCCACAGGCAAGCACCCACCATTCCACAGCATCCTCTCAAATGCCTCCTTGCCCTTGCGCAGGATGTCCATGTATTTCTGCTGGATCTCAGCATCTCCGAGCACCTCTGCCATCTTGCACATCATGCAGACGGCTGCCAGCCACAGCCCACCGCAGTAGGCACTGCCAGAGACAAAGGAGAGAAGCATCAGCAATGTGGGATACTCCACAGGTTGCAGAGAGCTCCCGCAACAGATGGGGACCACAGTCCCAGCTCTGAGCTCCCTCCCCACCCCATGCTCCCCATTCCAACCCCTACCTGCCTCTCTTGCTTACCTGGCTCCATTTACCACCCACGCGTCGTACGTCTGGTCAGCAAAGCCACCGTTTTCAATGAGCCCATCATTATCCGTGTCAAACTTCAGCTCTGACTCCATCACAGCCTGCGGGAGAGGCAGGAGATGGTCAGGCAGCCCTTGCACCCTGGCAGCCCCTGGCTTTCTGCTTGGCAGCATCCGTCCTCTCAGGATGTCACACAGCTCCCAAGGGAAGCAGGGAAGGGGGATGCCCCATGGTCTGATCCCCTCCCAGTACCTGGCAGACTGGCCACATGTCCCGCAAGTACAGGGAGTCCTGCGTCAGGTAGTAGTCACGGTACACCTGCAGCACAAACTTCAGGTTGAGGTCCTTCCAGTCAGCTGTATCGTGCATCAGGTAGGCATTGACACGCTGCCACGGCTCATCATCTAAGCAAGGACAGAGCAGATGCAGCAGTGAAACAAGCAACAAACCTACCCTCTCCTACCCAGGAGCAAGGTCCCAAGGATGCTGTGATCAAACAGCGCTAAAATAATATGCTGCACCCTGTGCGATCTCTAGCAACAGCAGCCTTCGCACTACTGCTCAGCTTCCCTCCATCTCCCTTGTATAAGCTCCATGCAGTGTGGTCTTCATCACCACCCCAAAACACCCAAGCTTTTCACTCCCAGAAAACAAACAGCGTGTTCCATGCACCATACCCCTTTCCCACAGCCTGGGAGTTAACTACCCCAAAGAAGTTGTGTGAGCAGCCCTGCACCCCCTCTGCCTCCCCCGCAAGTCTGGCCAGACCCCTCACCTGGGTCCCCAATGTCATGCGGCACCACGTTCTTCAGCTTCACCTGGGCTGTCTGACCACACATCAAGTACTGCCGGGTCCGGACATCCTCATTCACCACTGTGACAGCTGGAGAGGACACAGAGCAAGCGACATTAGAAAGGCACCAGGCAGTGTGTCAGCAAGCTCCAAGCACAGGCAGGGCCACCGGCACCAGGGCGCCAGGCTGTCCTTTGGGGTCCAGCTGCAAGATCGCAGCCCTCTGCAAAGGGCTGCGGGGACACCAGGCTGCTTCCAGTATCCCCTCAGTAGGGAACATGCAACTGTCACCACCCCCTTAAGCAAGGTGGTAGCAGCACCCAGGGCTGGGTGGGAACGCCAGTGGGCTCAGCCCATCAAACGGCTGTGCTCCACCACTGGCTGGACCACCACCGAGCAGCCACCAAGCCCACACAAAGTATCAGGGCCGGCAAACAGCCCCATGCTTGTCCTCTGCAAGGGGCACGGAGACAACTGGTAAGACCAAGTGTGGAGAAATGTGAGGCTTGTAAGGTCATTATGCCATGGACAGAGCAAGGACGAGAGCTGAGAAACTTGCTCATCTGGCAAAAACCAGCAAAAGGATAAGAATGCTGGTATCTGCTTCTCCCTTCTATAAACCTTGACAGGGGAGATAACAGCTGAAAGACGGAGCCTTGCGGTGGCAAGACGGCTAAAGAGCGAGGGACAAAGCAGAAAAACAGTTTCAGCACAAAACTCTGAAGGCTATGATGCCCAGGAGTGAAACCTTTGCTTAATTATCTAGAAAATCAGTATTACAGCTAACACCCTTGCTTAATTCTAAACATATATGACTACGTCA